CAGTATTTCTGTGGGATAATTAAAAAAAAAGGTAAAATCATTTCTCCACAGTTTTTTCATGGAAAAGTGTCAATAGATAATCTAAAGTTTTTATCAGCTATTTAAATTAGAACTATTATAGCTGCAAAAATAAGTGCTTTTTGTAAAGAAATATACACAGGAATATGATAAATAAGAGAAAAAGATAAAACGGGGCAAAAACTTAGTATATAATACAGCATAAATAAATGCCTTCTGAGATGAAATCTGTTGTTGTTGCTGTTGTTTTGCCGTCGAGTCGGACCCGACTCATATGCGACCCCTCCTTGGGTTTCCGAGGCAGTATCACTATGGAAGTAGATTGCCCCATCTTCTTTCCGATGAGTGGCTGGTGGATTTGAACCGCCAGCCTTCTGGTTAGCAGTCAAGTGCCGTAGCCACTATGCTACCAGAGCTCCCAAAGATGAAATCTAGGAGATACCATAAATATAGCCCTGAAATTAAATATGGGTGGTCTCAAATATATTTATTTAGAATGCATTAATATTTTCCTATACATGTACTAATTTCTGTGTCATGTCTATTCAAAAAAGGAACTGAAACATACTTATAATTATTTAAGATTATGTGTAATTCATGGTTTGTAATAGAACCTTTGATATTCCTAGATAGATTACTAGTGAATATCCCAAACAGCAGGTCCACAGACTTTTTCTTCAGCTGATCTGATAGAGTGAAAAATCATTCAGAATAGACTACACTATTCTAAGACCAAAGAACTATAAGCAAACAAAATAATGCCTTAAGTTAGAACACAGTTTTGTATACTCTTCATTAACTATTCAATTAAAGTAATATTCTACATGGTTATCTTCTACAACTATATTTTTAAATTTAATTTTACTGTGTCATTTATTAAATGCCCCCCAACAATATTTCCTGTCAATTTAGCTCATCATATCAGTAGAAACGTGCACTGACATACATTTTCATAAAACTTAAGTATCCTACAACTGATTTGAAAGACCCAATGATTTATATATCTCCCACATACATCTACCACAAATAAGTAAGTGCCAACCTACAGCCTCCATGATATAATAGTTCCAACTAACACAATGGTAGCAATGTTGTTAACTCGGATGTATAATAAAGGTTTTTATATGTTTTTAATTCATGTTTAAAATATAAAATGCAAATGACTTAATAACTAACACTGAACAATCAAAGATGTATCAAACCAAACCAAACACACAGCCGTCGAGTCAGATCTGACTCATAGCGACCCCTGTTTGGGTTTCCGAGGTGGTATCACTATGGAAGTAGATTGCCCAACCTTCCTTCCGAGGAGTGGCTGGTGGGTTTGAACCACCAGCCTTCTGGCTAGCAGTCAAGTGCCTTAGGCACTACGCCAGCAGAGCTCCTAAAGAGGTATCAAGCTCACTAATAATTTTTAATTGGTATTTTGGAAGGCCATGAGGAGATTAGTGGGAGCCTTTGAAAACACTGTCTGCTTGTTACAGCAGATGAATTTGAAAATTTCAAACACTATGCATTTCCAGGTGGCAGCCACCTGGAAATTAAGTGTTCTAAGAGCTCACAGTAGGTGAATAAAAGACAAACATTTGGTGTTTAGTAAGGCATTTATCATAAAAGATTAGAAAGGCATGAGGAACTGTAAACCAAAAGATGTATTTGAGCAGATAACTATTTGGGTTACACCAAAGAACTAAAAGCATACAAAGAAAGTCTTAAGAGCAGAAAGAGATCTGTAAGATGGATGAAACAAATCAAATATAAGATATCAAAGAATGCTCCTGAAAGCTAAAAATGTGGAGACTAAGAAAAGTGACAAAAATTAGAAATGGGCAATCATTGCATCTACTCAGTGCATTTTGTAACACTGAATATTGCCCTTTCTCTAAAAGTTAATTCCAATTCCACGAGGCCAAGGAACATTGCCCAGTCTAGATAGCAGTTCTTAAATCACAGTCTAAGGATTTTCTAGAAAAAACTATGAATTTATCACCAAGGAAAGAGACGAATACACAGGAATGTAGGTGAGGTTCCCAATAAGCACCAGAACAAAGCATCAAAAGCAAAGTGACATTTACTTAAGTTACTTGACAGAACAAGACAATATTCAAGGCCATAGCTGTCACTTCCTGCAGATTTAACATAGAACACACCACACAGCTCTACGTTGTGGTGCTGAAAACAGACATGATGAATGACAGAAAGGAAATTAGAACAAAAGAATAAGAAGGCTTTTCTCAAATCGATAAAGTTGGGAGGTAGGACTCAAAATCCCCATTTGGGGGCATCTTACAATCCTGATACCTATTATAGATGCACTTGGAGAGGGCAAGAAAGCTGTTGGACATACAAATGTGAGCTTAGAAATCAAGTATGGGATATGAATTTATAAGTCATTAGCATAATGATGATATACATACCCTTTGGGAATTGAAATCACTCAAAGAGAAGCTACACAGAAGAGAAAAGAGAGAAGAGTTCAATATCTGTAACAACAAGGACCGTTAGAAGCTAGATACAGGAAGGAGAACAGATAAAGTCTATTGAGAGCGAGAGGAAGGAGCCAGTTGAGACAAAAGCTATCTGTGTGAAGGAGTTAAAGACTGTGTTGCATTAAAACACATAACTATACTTTGGATTAGCAATAAGACAAAGGCTTAGTTTCTGACACAGAGGAAGGACTCCAAAAATGTTTGTTAAATGAGTGAGTGACTAAATGAGTTAGAGATTAGACTAGCATGGCATTTCTAGAGTTGAGACTATCTAGGGAATGATGGAAATACATGAGAGTTCTGATCATCTTAAAAAAGACAGGGCTAAGGAAGGTGACAATATAAACTTACCTTGGTTTTTGTTATAGAAAAAAACATGCTTATATTTTCTACCTATTAATAAAATACCATTCCAATTTAATAACGAAATAGGTTTTTGCGAGGTAATCAATAAAACATCATAAATTAGAATCAATTAATTTCAATGATTTAGAGGAGAAAATGTATTCACCCTGTAGAGTCTATAAAAAAATTACAAAGTTATTGTATTTAATAATGACCCCAAATATTTTAACTGAAATACAACAGAAAAGCAGTAAGCCATTATCTCTTACAAAAAGAAGAAGCCCTAATGAAGTAGATTTTTGAAAACTGTCATACAGGTAAAGCTCATTAGTTGCAATGAAAGTTCTTCCTGCTGATCTAGGGGTATCTAATGACCAGTATTTGTTATGTCTCAAAAACAAAGGCAACTTGTTTTTAATTCATGTGATAGCTCACTAAAGAGATTCCAAATCTGGAAACTTTTAAAGGATAATATATAAGAATATGAAAATTCTCCAAAGCAAACAGACTTATTTCACTCAAAACATTATATTTATTCCTCTAAAATCTCAGTCATTAATAGGGCAATATAATAATAAAAAGATATTATGCTCAACAATTACCTACACATTTTAAAAAAAGAAAAACCTCGGTGATGGCTTTTCTGTTTCAGATATTAAATTGTCTGCTCCCTGTAAAACACATTAATAGTTATCTGCTTACCCACACACAATGCATGCCTCTGCTAAAACAGAGGAAAACATAATACCCCCAAGGCCCGAGAATGTGACATAGAAAAACCAACAAAAAAAGAAAACAGAACAATCTTACTGCCAAATTAAAACTCTACAAGCCCTTATGAAGGTTAAATATTTTAAGATAGCAAAATATTACAGCATTGATAGAGAAGTTTAATTATAATTAAATGCTATTTTCAAAATTTCATTAACACCAAAGATTGCTTAGTAAATAATTCAACAATAAAAAAATACATCGGAAAGAGAAGTATGCTCCAGCTTGTGACTCACTCTTTCAACCAGTATAGAAGATGGTGAACTGGTCAGAAAGGAAACTGTCATTATCAAAAAATGCTTGCCCTGATTTAATTCTTGTCAAAGAACTAGTGTTGATATAAGCTGTTAACTACTCAATCATCTTTCCCCTAGGAAAAGAATTCTGTGTATTTCAAGGTACTTTGCTACTGTGTTCCATTACTTAGCAAGCTTAAGGCCCATTAGAATAACCACTTCCAATTCTTTTTTATGCTGTTTGCTCAAATATTCCAAAATTTCAGAAATCTCACTTTAGGAAAGTCAGTTCCCTGAGTTAATGAGTCAATTAGTTAAAAGTGATTTTTGAGTGTCATTGAGTAATTTTTAATATTTTTCCCCCACATACAGCTTTATGTATTTTTGCCCTAAGTGGTTTAATATTTTTCCTTCTTAAATTGCATTAAAGCACTTATAACTATGTATTAGTCATTTTCTTCCTAAAAGAGAACTTTTAAAGTAGTGAAGGGTAAAGTAAGAGATTTAGTATCATGAGAACATTAGGATATGGTACTAAAAAGTAAATTTACAAGGTTATATTTGATCTTAAAATTCTAGACAAAATATTTCCAACTTTTTACACCAAGCTGTATGGAATACACATTTCAAAGAAACATACATCTCAGGATAAACCTCCAAAAGCAATTTACCCACTCACTCCCCTCTGCAGATAAAATATTCTAATCTCCATTTTATAGAAATTGAAACAATTAAAAAGGGGCCAAGAACAATTAAAAGTGATTTTTTTTGTTTTTCTTAATTTAAGGAGAAATATTGTTATTATATGGAGGGAAAAAAAAAAAATGTCTCTTTTAAGTTGATGAATGAAAGCGCGGCCCTGGCAGGTATTCATAAGGTTTAAATGGCAAAATAATATATTGTTGAATATAGGGCTTCATTATCTAACCAAACACATAGCTCCAATAATGAGAACTCCTAAAATAAATATACTGAAATAGTCTCTTTATTTTTAAAATTGGTTAAACAGTATAAAAATAATAAATATTATTGAAATAATAAATAACTTTGTATAAGTCTATAAAGTGAAAAGAACTACTTTCTATTTTAGGTACTAACTAAAGAACCAGAGTAATTAAACATTGTCCATAAATTCACAAACCTTTACCAGCTTTGTCTAAATGTTCCAAATCGTCAATAAAATTCAGGATATCTGGGTACTTTTCCTCACATATTTCTGCCAGAAAATGAAGTAGTGTTGTTTTCTGATCTGCTGATTTCATGTCCTTTAGCTAAACAAAAAGAGAGAGAAAAACACAGAATAAAATTCAACAATATTTTGATAACTGGCCTAATTACAGAGAGTTAATACAGTATTTTGTAGAGAGGACGTGAATCGTAATATTAGTTAATTACATTTAGAAAAATAAATATTTAAGTACTTGAAAAGCTACAGTTACTATATTGCTATTTGGTCAAAATCATTAATATTTGTTATAAAGAAGAAATCAGTTCAATCTAGTACACAATGGTATATATATAAATGCCTAGGAAAAGGGAATAACGTGAAAGTCTGTACAGTAGTAGTACTCCTGAGTTTCCATTGATGTATTCTAGTAGTATCTAGCATACAGTTACTGTAAGAGTTAATAATATAACAACAAATAACACAGAAGCTGTTTAGTGATGGAAACAGAAAAGAAAATGTACATTTACCCATGCATGACAAACATTGTTGTTGTGTGTCATCAAGTTGATTCTGACTCATGTGACAGAGTAAAAATGCCCCATAGGTTTTCCTAGACTGAATGTTTTTGGGAGCAAACTGCCAAGTCTTGTCTCCCCCAAAGCAGCCTGGTGGGTTTGAACTGCTGACCTTCCTGTTAACAGTCAAGAATTCTTCTTCAGTGTGACAAATACTCAAAAATTCATTGCTGTCGAGTCAGATCCGACTCATAGTGACCCCTCCTTTGGTTTCTGAGGCAGTATCACCAAGGAAGTAGATTGCCCAACCTACCTTCCGAGGAGTGGCTGGTGGATTTGAACCACTAGCCTTCTGGTTAGCAGTCAAGTGCCTTAGGCACTATGCTACCAGAGTTCCCATAACAGAAGCAGGCAGAGTAATTTAAAAAGCTGTGGCAAAAATCCAGGCAGGGAAATGAGGCACCCTGAACTGAAGCTGTGTCCAGGAATGGATAACAGAACAGAGTGAGCCTAGAAGCCCAGGTGATGTCATTAATTGAGACAGGATAGATAAAATGAAGAACAGATTTGAATAGGACAAGCAAAGGAGACAACTATTGCAGCTTTGAACAGTTGCGTTTGGACATCAAATAGAAATGTCCCGATGGTATGTCAATTCATACAGGTATACAGCAATGTTTCTGAACATTTTTTTAAATTAATCATTATTATCCCTTTCCCTCTAAAGGTCCTTGGTTGGTACAAATGGTTTATACTCAACTACAGGTGGTGTAGTGCCTAAGGCACTTGACTACTAACCAGAAGGCTGGCAGATTAAACCCACCAGGCACTCCTCAGAAGGAAGGTTGGGCAACCCACTTCCGTAGTGATACCACCTCAGAAACCCAAGGAGAGGTCGATATGAGTCAGATCTGACTCAATGGCAGTGAGTTTGGTTTTGGTTTTAGCCTAACGGTTGGTGGTTTAAAACTACCAGTAGTGCCAAGGAAGAAAGGTTTGGAGATAATCTTCCATAAAGATTACAGCCACGAAAACCCCATGGAGAAGTTTTACTCTGTAACATGAATCGGAATGGACTCCACAGCAATGGATTCACCACCACTTTTATAGACATCTTTTTCCTAATTGACTCCTCCATACAATTTCAAAACCACAGACAGACTATATATACGATCATGTACTGTACTATTTCTGTGTTTTATATATAAAAAGTGTAGGATATTATCACCTCCATGAACCAATTTTCAGTTCATCAGAGGTGGTATTTTTCTTGCTGAAATGCATCATATAGAACTTAGAGGAGTGTATTAGTCTACAAGCATCAGTTTGTGAGCTACTAGAACCCAAAGCTAATAAAGTTGATTAAATGAACCAAAACAAATTTGTGTAATGAAGGGAAGGAGGACAGAGGCTTGAGGAGAAGATCAGAGTGGAACAATCCTAATCTGGAATAGTCAGGAAAAATGCTACCACAAGGGAGAAGTGATTAAGCTAAAATGTAAGTGAAAAATAGAAATGAACTTGAGATTTGTTTCTTGAGGGGGAGAAAGGATTTGAAGGAATGTGGATAGAGAGCACATATACACTCTGGTAGTGTTCCCTACAGTTGACTAATCATGCAGAACAGATAAGTACTACAACAATCACAACAAAAAAAATCACTATTTCATACCTGAGTTTAATTTAGAGCTGGAAATTCTTGGCATACCTAATTGAACAGAGTCCTTTTTTCTCACTTCCTTTCCAACATTTTCTTATTTTAAAACAGGATCCTTTATCGATATTGCCACATGCAAAAATTTTCAAAATTTGTATCACTAAATATCATATCACTATCAGAAATATACTGAGTAATAGTTAATATAAGATAGTGGCAGAATGAAAGATTCAGTGCCAGTGTCATCACACATTTAACACGTCTATTCATTGATGCAAAAAAAAAAAAAAAAAAAAAATCCAGATCCCTGGAAACACTGAGCTACCTTCCCAGACAGTTGACTTTTACATGATCATTTATGTAATAGGTTCAAATGCTATGCTGATCTTCTGAACACACAAACCTAAGACTGGTTCCTGGCACTTTTAAAACTGTTGGAATTTGACACAGAGAGGTGCATGGCAGGTACAGATAACAATGCAGCACATACAGTACTGCATTGTCAGTGAAAGCAAATATGGATATATGGGTGGACAGACGGGTGAACAGGCTGAACTATTACATATGTCTATGCCGGGGGGAGTGTACCCAAGACCATGTTCTGGGTTGGCAATGTTTCTACAAGTGTATTGGTATATTCTGTAAGAATTCCCAGGTATACAGTAGACCTGACAAGGCACAAGGTTGTAGTCACTTCTTGGCCATAGCCAGCTACCCAGAGGGGGCAAGTAGTTGGACCTGTGGGCTGGGGACCATAGTTGCAGGGGATAGCAAGCTCAATTGGCATAACGTACTACACAAAACATTGTTCTACATCCTACTTTGGTGAGTAGCAACTGGGATCTTAAAAGCTTGCAAGCAGTCATCGAGATGCAACAATGGGTCTCTCCTCGTCCAGAGCAAAGAAGAATGTAAAAAATCAAAGATTCATGGAAACAGTCCAAGAGACTGGTACACCATGCAATCCTCAGCCTATATGACTATGAGACCAGAAGAACTAGATGGTGCCCGGCTACCACTCTCAACCACTCACAGGGGGATCTATGTAGAAGATCCTGGATAGAGTAGGAGAACAATGTGGAACAAAACTCAAAATCAAAAAAAAAAAAAAAAAAAGGGACTCATCTTATAGAGACTGATGGAACTACTGAAACTATGGCCCCTAGCTGCCCTTCAGGTCTGCAACTGAACCCACTCCTGTGGTTTCCAGCCAAACAAAAACAGGCATATGAGGTGAACACTTATATTAGGTAGCTACACTCCTTGGCAAGAACAATCATGGGAGAATAGAACGGCTGTGTATGCACAGGGAGACAGCTCAGGGGGCAGAAATGCATAGAGGGAAGAGGAACCATGGGGAGGAAGTGGGAGGGGAGCTGTTGCATTGTGGTAAATTATAGTAAATGTCATGAGACAAAGTGTATGTGAGCTACTGTATGGAAAGTAAATTTGCTCTGTAAACTTTCACCCAAATCACAATAAAATAGACAAATATTTTTAAAAAACTGTCTGAATTTGTATAGTCCATTGTTTGATGTCTTGTTTATATCTGAGTCGTGACGACCCCTCCTTGGGTTTCCAAGGTGTTATTTCTATGGAAGTAGATTGCCCAGTCTTCCTTCTGAGGAGTGACCGGTAGGTTTGAACTGCCAGCCTTGTGGTTAGTAGTCATATGCCTTAGGAACTACATCATCAGAGCTCCTTTATGGAGCATAGATTTCACAATATCCAGCTAAGTGTTTTGAAGAATGTGACTGAAAAAATTACTTAATTACTAGCTAGAATAATTCCATCAACATGTCTGGCTGTTCTGGTAATGCTAATTCCCTTAACTAGTCTTGGGAAGTTACTAGGCCTTAGTTTTCACATGGGTAAAATAAGAAAGTGACGTAACACAGAAAGGGATCTCTGAGTTCATTTCCAATTTTACAAGCAGTTAAGTATTCATTGTAATGGATGAAAATGTAATGGGACATCTTGGGTCAAAAGTTAAAGGTTCGAGTTCATACAGAGGTGCTTGGTAAGAAAAGCTTAGTGATTTAGTTCTGAAAAATCAGCCATTGAAAACTGTATGTAGCACAGTTCTATTCTGACACACACTGGGTTGCTGCAAATTGGAAGTGACTTGAATGACAACTAGTTAAGAGATAGTAGATACACTGACATCTAACAACAAAAAAAAGGGTGTGTGTGTGTGTGTATGGAGCTCTGGTAGCGTAGTGCCAAAGGCACTTGACTGCTAACCAGAAGGCTGGTGGTTCAAACCCACCAACCAGCCACTCCTGGGAAGGAAGATGGGGCAATCTACTTCTGTAGTGATAGTACCTCGAAAACCCAAGGAGGGGTCACTATGAGTCAGATCTGACTCGACAGCAGTGGGTTTTTGGGAGCTCTGGTGGCATAGTGCCTAAGGCATTTGACTGGTGGTTGAAACCCACCAGTCACTCCTGGGAAGGAAGGTTGGGCAATCTATTTCTGCAGTGATACTACCTCAGAAATACAATGAGGGGTCACTATGAGTCAGATCCAACTCGAAAGTAGTGAGTTTTTTTTTTTTTTTTTTAGATATTTCAGAAGAGACATTTAGGTCGACTTGTAAAGGAAAAGCCATGAATGTAAGAGGTATGAATAAACAAGATTTTTTTTTTTTTTTTTTAGATATAGATATGAATATAATGAGGAAATCTAGCTCTAATCTCAGTTCAGAAGTTATTTTTTACATGTTTAAGTCAGTTGAACCTCACTTTTTATAAAAAATCCTATGTTAAAACCTATTTGGAAAAGCTACATAACAACTCTATAGTAGTGTTCCATTGTAGTAGGAACAAGGAGCTCTGGTTGCGCAGTGCCTAAGGCATTTGACTGCTAACCAGAAGGATGGCGGTTCAAACCTACCAGCCACTCTGTGGAAAGAATGCAGGGCAATCTATT